ATAAATATAATTGTGATTTTGGTAATATTATAATGAGACACTTGAAATGCAAAAAACCACCCTTGGAGGTAAATATTTTTCCCAATTAAAGTCTTTCACGGGTATATCTATTTGTCGTAACAATGAAATTTGTAAAGAATGAGTATTAATGTAGCAAATATATTAACAAAAGGATAAAAAATATAAATTAAACTTACTTCTTGTCGAATTTTTGGTTGACAGTTATTAGCTTCACCTGGGTACCTTCTTTGACGTCGTTCCATGGGGTTGGGTTATTTTGTCTATTTTAAGATGAAAAATTGTATTACAGTCGAATTAGAGGAAAATTGATGAAATAATTGATCATACTTACTTATCCCATACCACATCAGGTGCTTTTGCGCTCCGACCGAGAATCCAGCAAGCACCTGTAACAGCCCCACCCTAATTATTCGTAAAGACATGAATATCGATGATTTTTTAATGATCTTTTATGTAAAAGTTATCAAGAATACATACAACTATGGTACACAGAGGAACAATTTCAGCTCTATACCAATTCCTCGTAAAACTTCTTGAAATAGATGCGGCAGCCATTATTCTTTATGTGATATGGGTTGATTTGTTTTTTTTTTAACACAAGTACAATTAAATCAGCGGTGAAAAATACGTCTGTTAAATAGTTTTCAACGGTGCTAATACTCCCTCGAACGCGTGTTATGTGCTTGCATCACAAGTTGTTGCGTGATGTGAATGATAGGCATAACACCTGATTTATACATTGCATTCGTAATCATACGATTTTTATTATCTCGCAAAAATTCGTTGTATTTCAACCACTTTATAGAAATAAATATATCCCGAGGGCTGAAAAAGTTATTTTTCTTAATCGAAATTGAATCGTGTGTCGGGTTGACGTGAGATAATCTGTTTTTAATGAATGCTTTATGTAAAATTATTTTATTTATTATAAATTTCAATTTTAACAATTTAAAAGTCTATAAGTTTTTTATAATATACAGTACGTATATATGTATAGTTCGAAATAAAACTTTTTATTCTATTTTTAATAAATTTAATATAAATAAATACTGTAAATATATTTATTTATTTTATATTTTAAATAATAAAGTTTCAAAAAGATTATAAACTAATTATGAAATGCTAAAAATATTAAGCTAGAAAGAAAAGAATTTCTGAAAAAAACATTAAATAATTTTCTTAGATTTAAAGTTACTTTAATATATAGTTGCTTTCAAAAGTTTGAGTCTACTACTTATTATATTTTAATTATAAATTTTAACTTTATCAATTTTTAAATTTTTAATTATAAGTTAAAAATTATAAAAATTATATACTGTATATTATATTTTAATATGTGATTTATTTCTTATGTTTTTTAAAAAAATTTATATTTATAATTTTTAAAGTTTTTTTTAAATTTTTATTTTTGAAGGATTTTAATTGGTTGTTACTACAAATTACAAAAAAAAATAAAAATATTTAATTATATAAAACCTTTAAAATTATTTATAAAAAATTTTTTAAAAAAATATGAAAAATAGAATAAGTATTAATATATAATATATAGTATAAATTTTATAATTTTTAATTGTATAATTAAAGATTTAAAAACTGATGAATTTGAAATTCATAATAAAAATATAGTAAGTAAACTTAAAAATTTGAAAGCAATTATATCAATTGATTTTATTTTATCAAATGTTTTTCAAAATTTTTTACTTTTTTCTTTCAACTTAACTATCCTGAATTTTATCTATTCATGCACTTTCACTAATTTGTTTTTCACTCTCTAAATATATTAATGATTTCTAATATTTAGTAATTTTTTGTCTTTTGGATTTAACTATCTTTTTTGTCTCTTTTTCTTATTCACATTCTGAAATTTCTTTTAAACTGTATGTCCAATTTGGGTGATGTCATATTATAATAATATAAATTATCACAATATCATTTACAAATCAGCTGAAATGCTTGAGTTGATTTTGAATATTCATCCAAATATTTCAACAATTTTTTTTTTTTTTTTTTTTTTTTTTTTTTAATTGCAAATGAGCATTAAATGCGGGTTTTTATTAGAAAATTAATTCTTAAACATAACATTAATAGTCTTTACATTGGTAAATTAACTATAACCTATTGCAATTTTCCTATTATACCACACTACTGGACAGTATCCAGGTTCACCAGAATAGGGTCGAATGACTAATATTCATTCAAAAATGATGTTATTATTGAGGGAAGAAATAAAGATTTTTGTATAGAGTTGTTTAGTAAATTTGATGATTCAATAATTATTTTTGAGATATTGTTGCTGTTTATTTTATTTCCACCTTGGTCAGGTTTGTTGGTCACTTTTGTCTTGTTCCATTTGATTCCGCTGATAGGTAAGGTATTAGCTATGGCAGATCTTTGTTTCCAAATTTTATAAAGGACTTTTAATTATGCATTCATCAATTGAATTTATAGTTTTTCACTGGATAGTGACTCTAGATATTGGTTGGGCTCTCCTATAGTGATGTTAAGTAGAATATCTTCTTTGATTAATTCAGATAATGTTGTTATTGAGTTGGCTTGTATATAGTTTCTATTTTGTTTTTTTAGAATTTTGTTAAGTTTGGATAGTTTTTTTTTTATTGTTTCTCTACTTTCAATACAATTGAAGATATAAAGCTGATTTTTGTTTATGTGATCACATCTGGGGCACCTGGAATCTGTGTATAGTGTGAGATATCTCTTGTAAAGTTTGTCTCTTGTGGGTAATTAGTTAAATAATAGCTTTGTTTTGAAGGTGGTTAAGGCTCTATAGTTGTATTTATCCATTTTCCAGTAGCTTTTGTTGGCTTGTTTTAGTCATAAGAATTCAGAGATGTTGTTGGGTTTGTATATGCAGTTGTTACTTAAGATTATTGAGAAAAGTTTGGTATATGAATTAATAAATTTTATCCAGTGTGTAATACTCAGTCCAATTTTGTTATTAATAAGTGGTGAAGTAGAGAATTGTGTTGGTTTGTAGAGAGGTAGACTTGTATATATTGAAATGGTCGATGGAGTGGGCTTGCCTTCGATTTTAATGTATGTTAGATTGATTTTTTTAGTTTTTGCTAGATTTAGACATCTTTCGATTATGTGGCTATGTTGAACCTTGATTTTCTTATTGATATATAATGGGAGCTTAGTGTTTGGGAGTTTGGATATGAAGCACTTTATATTAGTATAAGGCGTAGCATTTTCTATTATATTGTTTAAAATAGTCCATAATTCGTGATGGGAACTAGAAATATGAGAAAATAATTGAAAGCTATTGTTGTTCTTTACTTCAATTTCATTGTTTCTTTGAGTCACTACTATACTAATGGGAACATTAGCTCGGGAAGTTGTTGGCCGTGGTTGAATTAGAACTATTTCATTGCTGATAGGTTTGGGAATAAGTTGTATGTCAACTTTATTTAGATTGTTAAGAAGGTAAAATAGGTTGTTGTTTTTCTTATGCCACATTGATTTTGCTATTTCAATTGGTTTGCTTTTGATACAAGGTTGAGTTTGACATTGGCATTGATTTAGGTGATTTGTGTTTTTGTCTACAATATAATGTTGTCCTCTAATTATTTCTTTATTATTGTAATTCTTTCTTGTTTTTATGAATTCTGTGTAGTTTGTGTTTTTAAAAGTCCAAAAAAGAGGTTTTGGATTAAGGAGAGGTAATGTGTTACCAGTTATTGTAGGGAAGTTTTCTTTGAGGTCAGTGTACTAACTGGGGATATAACCAGGAGTGACTCATTCTATTTTTGTATGGAGTTCATCCCATGAATTTATGCTGGATTTGTTGTATTGTGTGATCTGTCTGACTATTTTAATATTGTGTCTTGATAAGTATAGAGCTGTTGTCTTGTTTATTTTGGTGTGAAGGCCTATGAATAGCCATGCATTCTTGTGTGAAAAGGGACATAGATTTGGACCAATGTTTATTTTGTAGTCTGCTGCAATGTGGGTTACTTCTGTAATTCAGGATTGTTCGAAATGTTGGGGATGGTAGATCGGACATAGCCAGATTGCACTGCTTATTTGGATTGATAAGATTTCTTGTTGAATGAAGGGGGTGGTTTTCTTGTTCACTAGAATGGTGGCTAGTAATTTGACCAGTGTAATTGTCTTCCGGTCCTTGAGGGCTATTGAATTAATGCCAGCTTGTGAGAAGTAGGCTCTATTTGATAGGGTATGTTCTATACTCAATTTCTTTTTTATTGCTTTGATGAATGATGTTTGAAGTGTATTAATATTGTGTTTTCTTAGAGGCATGACTTGAAGAGCATAGTCAATCTGAGCTGGGATAACCCATTGTGAAACTTGCTTTGTGATGAAACCATTTCACATTTTCTGGCTAGCAATGCTTTTGATAAATTCATTGGATTTCTTTAGGAGCCTTCGTTTTGTTGACAGGTCTGGGGACTGACCAGATAAGTAGATTCATAAATATTTGATATCTTGTTTGAATGGTTTGGAAGTAATTTCTGTGTCCTCTACTTTTAGGGTTTGTTTGCATTTGTAGCTTTTCCAGGAATGGTTTGTTATTAGATCAGTTTTTGCTTTATTGCAGGTTATGTGGTTTATTTTAAGGAATAATGTGAATATGTCAGTTGCTTTCTGTAGGGTTACTAATATTTGTATGAAAATTGTGACATCATTAATGTAAGTGAAGATGTTGTTATTGTGTGGTAGGATCTTTTATATCTTCGAGATAACTGGATCTTAAAAAATGACCCATAACAAAGGTGCTATAGTTTCTTCTTGATCCAGTTCTTATGAGACTGATATGGGGTGGGTCAGGTTGTAATAGAAGATAAACTGAAATGACCAGTTCATTAATAGTTTAATGATAATGTTGGTGAATTTTGTAGGTAGTTTTATTCTCTTCATGGCAGACTCAAGGCTCTTGAGGTTGACTGAATCATATGCCTTTGAGATATCGAAAGAGGCTAGCCAGTATTTTTTGTCATGGTTTGTATAGGTGCTGATGAGTGACCTGATAATGGCTAGTAATTCGAGGGTACTTTGATCTTTTGTACCAGCAAAATTGGATGATAATAGAATGTCAAACTCAGCTATTATTGATAATAATCATTTGTTGAAGATTTTGGTAAAGATTTTTCTATAAGTTTGGTATCATTTAAATTGTGAAACCAGATAAGTTTTTTTGATAGAAGTGTAATGATAAATTGTTTCCATACTCTAAGGGGATTTTCATTTCTTAATATTTTATTAAAGAGCTCTTTTAGTGCACTGAGAGCTGAGGTTCCTATATGTTTCCATGCTTCATAGGAAACCTTGCTGGGGTCTGGGGCTTTGTTTGATGAAAATGAATTTATCGAATCTTCTAAGTCCTGTAGGGTGATAGTGTTGAGAAAGTCTCAATAAATTTACTCTCTTAGTTGCTATTTTGATGTATAGTCTTGTTGCCATGTTTCATTGATTATGAATTCTTTGGGTATAAGCAGTTTTTTGAAGTGATTTGTGATGATGTTAGCCAGGGCTTCAGGGTCATCTTGCAATTGTTGTCCATCAGTTAGGATTGAGAG